TTTTAAATGTATTTTAAGAAAATTAAAAACAAGTGCCTGTCCCCAGGGTCCTCTGGCTTCTGTGCATTTGTAACATCCTCTGATGTGACTTCCACAGACCCCAAGCTGCTTGCCTGGGCTGTCCAAATTATTTCTTGAGGTATTGTTTTTGTTAGTGCTTCGGGTACAAAATTGTACAGGTTTTGAATGATGTGTCTCAGAACAGGAGGTTTTTAGAGAATCGCACAGTCTGTGTTACGACAGAACCACCCATGTACTTTAGCAGAAACACTACTCATTTATGTTGCAAATCAGTAGATTTCTAAAGAGGTCCAGCAACATTTCCCCAAACTTCTATTTTTAAGCACAATTATGATGTAACTAAATTCAATGCTCTTTCCCTACTGCACGTGACAGCCTCTAAATCCTTCACATAGACAACACCTCAGCTTTATTGTCCAACTGTCCACAGTTTGAACCAGAAGTTGATTAGGACTTTCTTCTTCAACCTTAATAGCATATGGTATAGGAGCTACCTCAGCACAATGCCTGTAATCCCTGTTTTAATTTCATCTCCCCACTTGGCTTTTCAGTTAACTAATGCTTTCAAAGCATACATGTTGAGCTCAGCATTATAGTAAACAACATGGAAGACTATCAAACAGCAAAAGTCCTTGCTCTGAAAGGATTTTTAATCTCCTTGCAAACTTAAGTCTCACACACATTAAGCTTAGTTATCAGAATATTTAGTCAGATGTCAACACAAATGGTACATTATCATGGAGGCCAGATCTTCAAGAAAAGATCACCGTGAGTTGTAGTGTCTGGAGTAAAACATGAGGTGGGCTCTGAATGATAATAAACTAGTCAAGGAAGCAAGCCTTCCAGCAGAGAGGAGAGCTGCGTAAGTACAGAGAAAGGATAAACCATGCGATTCATGAGTGAGCCTGACTTAGAATGAAAAAGAAAAATGGCAGGTGGACTAGGCTACACAGGTAGCGAGGGATTAGATGAGAGACTTGAAAGCCAGACTGAAGAGTTTGGACTTTTCTGAGCACAGAAGTGTCCTGATAGAAAATAGTTTCAGTAAAGTCATTTTAGTTTCACACATTAATATTTCATCTTCCTCTAGTCCTCGATCAGACTGTCATTGGTACTTTCCCTCCTCTCTTTGACCCCTAGGACTCAAAATTTAACTAGGAATAAGAATGTGAAAGAAAAAATACTGTCTGCTGTGGGAGACTTCAGGGCCTTTAGTAAACAATATTTTTTGTGGTATTCTAAAAGTTAAATGAATAAGGACATCTTTAATCTTAAAAAGTAGATTAAAAAGATAAATTTCCTAAATACTTACCCATCTGTTAATATGGAATATTTATACTTTGTTCCTAATTCCTTCAATTTCATCCAGTCAATGACTTTTTTCAGTACCTGAGGGAAGGTATCAGCCTTGTCTACCTGATCCTGAGGATATGAAAATGAAGTCATAAAAACCAGGGCAGCTACACAGTCCCACAAAATAGCCAGACACAAACACTGTAGGGAAAGGAACAGTAAGAGAAAGTCTTATCTATGATGTTATGAATTCTTCATGGTTTCCTAGGCTAAGGTTCACCTAAAATTCCATTTATAAGATCATTAAAAATTGTTTATAATCAAGTATTAGGGACTGCTTTCAATTGAAGTATATAATCCTCCCAAAATTTAGATTTAAGATCATCCCCAGGGGTTCTCTTTTTATGCTTCAACTTAGTGGCTTACTGATTCTCCAAAGGGGAGAAAAAGGGCAATCTCTTCTCAGCTGAAAGTGGTCTCCCTATCTCGAAGTTCCCATTTCTCCAAAACATACACACATCTTTGTAAAGGGTGAATCTGACCCATCACATCGCTTTATACTTAAAATCCTCCAAACATTCCCCAAGGCTTTCAGTACAAAAAGACACACAAGTCTCCTCACAATCGAGCTTGCCTCTGACATGAGCTTTATTTGCGACCACTTTCTTACTAGCCCATAATACACCTTAACCATCCAGAACCACCTACATGTAGTTCTGCCCTTTTCATCTGACAAGCTCAGTCATTTTTTCCACTTATCTACCTGTCATGACTCAGCCCAAGTTCACCAACTTGAGTTTTCCCAGGACAGCCCTCCATTACATAGGGAGCTCTTCCTATAGATGCCCATGACACCCTGATGAAACACTGACTGACTTGCAGACTTTCTGACCACATTGCAGCGACTGGTTTACTCTGTCCCCTGACTTACAGACTGTTAAGTGAGTGAAGAGAGAGACTGCCTTGACCATCTTCGTATCCCTCGTACCTTGGCAAATACTACAGCAAGCACTGACATATTTGTTGAATGAGTGATTGAGTGAATAAAGGAACTAAATAAATGAACAAAGGGCCTACCACATTAGAATACAAGCAAAAATCAGAGACCTAAAAAAAAAAAGTAAGCTACATATGAAGTCAGGTTGTAAACAGATACACTTTAAAACTTTATCACCAAGTTCAACATGGTAACGTTTACTTCACTAATGCTCCAAACAAGCGCAATGTTCAGATTCATCATGACAACTCCTTAAAAAGAAAGGCTGAAAACAATCTTATCCGGTATAAAAAATGTGCTTTCTATCTTTTAAATACTATAATATGAAAGATCTTTACCAAGCAAGGAAAGCATCACATTAAATTGTATACAACAATAATTTTTTAAACTATAAAATGAATCCCCAATTTCAAAACTACTTCCAAACTCTAGAAAAAAGAACACAGAATTATAACCTGAGTAATTCCAGTTAGATTGATGCAGAAGTCAGAAAGCTGTGTGTTGATCTCTGGTCTTACATACTGCTGAAATGTATCTTCCTACAAGGGAAGAACAGCAAATTAAAGTATTTTCTATGACTTAAGATACATGATACACAATACATGACAAAGTCAGCCACATAAGACTATAATTCTATAGGTGCTCACGTCATAGACCTTTCTAGAGTTTTAACAATTTAAAGATAATGTCCTATTCCAAAGTGCTCTAATTTTTTAATTAAAAAAATAGGTTTCATAATTTTAAAAATTTTAAGATAAAACAAGTATCTGAAAGCAAGTCTTCAAACCAAAGTTTAAATAAACATTTTCCAGAGGAGCAAAATGCTGATGATTTTGTTTATAATGTTTTGAAACAGCAACCTCTACTTCAAGATACTGAGGTTTTTAAATAATGAAGTATTTTGAAGAAATG